AGATAACCTTGAGGAAGGGTTGGAGGGCACAAGATGATATATAAAATTTTAACACGACCAAATGGCCCAGCTCAACGTTGGACAATTACAGAATTATGTAATTGCCCGGACAATGTCTGCAAATGGCTTGGTTTGGTTGCAGCTTCAGGGGGTTTAAGGTGATAACAAGAAGGAACGCAAAGTCGAGGGCCTCGACTATGGAATACCCTTTACTCAGCGAAACAGTTTTACAATAACGTTTGGTATATTACCTAGATTTTCTAAAGTAATAAAGTTCCTTATTGGGATAATAAATTAGTTAGTTTACGTAATTAAAAATTTCTTTAAAAACAATGATATAGGATAACTAAAATGAAATCCTAATCAAAGTCAATGTTATATAAGCAAAAATGTAACAAATATTTATATACGATTCCCTTAACAAAATTATTATGTACTTCTTTGATTTTATAATTTAAATAAATATATTATATTATATTATTTTATTATTTTTATACATATTTAGAACCACTTACCTGGATTCTCTGTATAACGCAAGGTCCTTATTGGGATAAAATCAATTTTGTGTCACTTAACCGTGACTTTCCTCACAAAACGAATTATCTAGTTCCATTTCCACTTTCGCTGCAATAGAATTAATCTCGAAGGCGCGAAAGAGAGAACTGCGGCTCAAAACGCTGTCCAAAGATCTTCCCTTGTCCACTCTTGTTTACGCTCCCTTTTTTCACAAAGCATTTAAAATACAATTAATTAATATAAATTATCATTATCATCATCATCATTATCATTATTCGATATGTGCGCGCACACTTTTATTTTCACAAAAATAAAAAAAGAAAAAAAACATTTTTAAATAATCAGAGGAGCACCTTTTGCATTTAATCATTAAGAACAGCTAATTTTACCGATCACTCTTTATAACACTTTTTATAAGCACGAACAAATTAATTCCGAGTATGTTGCTTGCGAGTGCAACGATTTGCGACTAAAACCTGGAAAACAAAAAACCGAGGTAGAGAATTTTTGGGACAGACTGGAAAGAGAAGATAAGCTTTCCAAAGATCTTTGTTTTGATTCCCCTTTCTCATTTTTACCTTCCTTCTTTGTCAATGCATTTAAATTCAATTCAATTTAAGTAAGAGCAAGAAGGAAAGGAATAGTTGATGGCAGCGGCTATCTGATAACAGTTACTCTGGTTGTTTACATACTCTGTTCATTTGAAAACAACTTTTGTAATTTTTTATACAGCCCTCTGTTGGCAAAACCATGTAACTAAGTCATATTTCTGACTTGCGTTACGTGACTTCCTTACGTAAAGCCTTGTAACCTTAATTTATTTATAAATTATTAAGAATTGTTCCGTTTTTGGTAGATAACATAGCAGTATTTGTCTGATTTATTGCATTTTAAATGTGTTTTAAAAAATGTCAAAATTTTCCCCTTACCTTTAACTTTTAAGGTTATGTACTCTTTTATAACCTGAAAATATCCTTATATGCTTCCCTTTAATTTAAAGTGAAAAGTGAACACATTTTGGTTTGGCGATTATGCTTATGTCATTGGCCAAGTTGTTGACAGCCAACTCGATATTTTCCGCCAACTTCGTTCAGGTGCCGGAAAGTGCAGCGCTTCAATATTCATCTGGCGAATATTTGCGTCGCGTAGTTGGCGAAATTTTACCGCTGTCCTTATTGGACTCGTTGTTCTTGTTGGCTAACAAAACTTTGGCCGACAAAACCGCACATTCGTATACATGCACAAAAACACTGAGCCTCATGCATAGACATCGCTTTTGCATTCATGGAGCATATGTTCCAACTCCCGATTTAGTTTTCGTTTTACGGTTTGAAGTTTCACATTAAAAGCATTTCAGCCAGATAAATAGAGCATGAGGGAGTGTGAGAGGAACAGAGAGCAAGAGGAGGACGGAAGATGACTCCCGACCTCCCTCGAAAGTCTATGCTGTCACTGATAAAGTTTTTGTTTTTGCTCTGCTCCTAGAATTATATTATAATTTCAACTATGAGTACTACTCATGCAAATAACTCAAATTAAAGTTTTTATGCCTATGGGGCACACACATACAGGCACACTGGGACAAGGACAGACCGGAAACCGCCATCTTGTTTTTAGTTTTTGGATAAAAGTTGCAGGCACGCACAAGACTAGCAGACAAACATGGCCGAAAGGGTTACAGAAAGACTTGGCTCTAACTGGGTATAGCACTGTGCTACAAATTATGGGATTAACTAACAAATTCCTAAGAATATGCAGGTTTATTTACTGTAGAATTACAACATATTAATCAAAAAATTAAAAGATTTATTTTGAAAAGTGTTTTTGATTTTTAGATCAATAAATGCCAGAAGACAAAAAGCTTTTCATTAGCAACAAATTATAAATCAGAAGTAATTTCCTAATTCACAGCACATTTTTGTTTACCACACATATTGTGTTACACACGAATTAGGCCTTGTAAACAGCGATGTTGCAAACATTTTGATAAGCAAGCAAATTTAATAACTGATTAAAAGTAATAGTAAACAAGCCAATTGAATGGAATTGCGTAGCGAATTAGGCTATTTAGTGGATTATTAAATTTGAAAACTGACATCCTGTGCATTTTGCTGTTGGCCACTCATTAGCATAGTGTTGCAGTAATTATCGAGGTCTGTGCCACATCCATTATCACTTCATACGACGAACAATTACGACGGGTTGATGTCATAAAAAGCCTGTAAAAGTGCATTTAAACTATTTCGAAAGTAGCTCCCATTTCTCGGGGCGCCTTTGGTGCGCCTCGTCAGCACTTCTTTTTTGGGCAGCAGCATCAATAACGGGAAAGTTTTAGCCAGAAACCAAGGAGCACCGACCACAACAGCAACACATCCAGGCAGGACCAGCCCAAAAATTATGGCCACACTTTCGTTTTTACCAATGGACGGCGGCAGGCGGGTGGACAATGCCCCAGTGAGATAAGAAAATTGTAGAGGAAAATTGCACTGAAAGAAACTTTTTCTTTAAGAGATTATATTTACAAATTACAAATTATTTACAGAAAACCGGTCAGATTTGTTTTAAATATACAGTTTTTTTCTTTTGGAAACAAAATCATTTCGATCTAAAAGACTTCTTGGAAAGGTTTTTTTATTTTTTTCCTGTGTCCGAGCTGCAGCATTCTTGAAATGCAGCCAAGCCGCAACTATGTGGCCGTCCATAAAGTTGAGCCGTCACCAGAGGAAAAGAGGAGAGTCCCTCTTGCTGGGCTGCGAAAGTTTTTTAGGGCCAGCTTGTGTTTATAAGATGGCCAAGTAGCAAGCAGCGGCGTTCGGCTATCAGTTGGCCAGAACTTTACTGCTTACGTTCATCATATTTGCGCGAGAGTTTGCCTAGGCAACTTTTCCAACCCAGAAGAGTCTAGAGATACCAGATACCAGATACTATATATGTATGCTATATAGAAGCGAATGTAAAAGCATGCGGCCACTGCAACAAACTGCAGCGATTGCTGTCAGCTGCAAGTGCTCTGGGCGGCAGGCACTTGAGACTTCTTTTGAAAATTGTCCAACAAGAAAACCAAAAGCAACCTGCACCTCAAACTGAAAACTCCAGGCCATCGGCCCAAAGGACATTGCAACAACTGACTGATAAATGTCGCTGCCAAGGCTGCAAATACGACTGAGGACATTTCCTTATTTCCTGTCGTTGTCCGCTGTCCGGCTGGCCGACTTTTGCTACAGGAAACTTTTAGACCAAAAGGAAACCCAGAGCAGCGGAAGGCATTCTGGGTAGGGCCCTTTTTTATGCAAGTCATAGAAATTTACAAGCCCCAGTGACAAGGACGTTTAGTTTATGGACGCGTGGCGGCTTCAGTGATGACAGTTTGTCCAAGGGATTAGTTTCAGATTTTTTATGTATATTTTAAAATATATTTTAGGTCTTTTCAACTCTTATTTTTACCAATAATATCCGCTTTCTTTATCATTACCTTTTTCTATCTATCTATTAAAATGTTTGTTATTTTCACAATATCAGGTTTATTCTCAAAAAAATAAACCCGAGGCTTTAATAGTGGCATCACTGTTCCGTCGTGGGACATTTTGCTGTTGAAAACTTTGTTACATTGGCATATGCAATTGGGTTTGCTGCACATCCTGTCGACAGCTTGGACTTGCCAAAGTTTTTGCCACTGTTAAATGTTTTCTACGTTTTTATGTCTTCGCCAACGTTTTTTGGGCGTTTTTAAAGCAGAGTTTTGGTGGGGCAGGCAAAGTTTTTAATGAATTTTATAGCAGGCGGCGTTAGGCGATTGTGAGACGATTCAATCCGAAGGCAAGTCTTACGAAACACAGAGTTTTGCCGATAAGGGGGAGGCCAAAGGTGCAGGCGGGCAGGCCAATCAAGCTAATCGCGGACGGGCTGAGATAGACAGACGTATATATATATATATACCAGTACAATACATATAGTACGACGATCCGAACTACAGACAAACAGACAGACACACCGCTTTGACTTTGATGTGCTGTCGCTGGTGTTGGCCTGGGCATTAAATGCAGCACATTAAAGCCGCAGGAGCCATCGCCGCTGACGGCTGACAAGCGTTGAGTCAATTACATGGTAATAAACTAATGGGCAACGTGCTCACCCGGCGACGACGTCACTCACCATGACCATCATCATCATCACCAGCCTCATCAGTTTTGGTTCTCACTCAGGCCCGTTTAGCTTCAACACTTGTTGATCTTCCCATGCCAGTACATTAAGCCAACTATAATTGGCCCAAAGTGAGGCTCATTCGAAAATGGCACTGGCCTAAAGGCGAAAGTTGAAACTTCCATAAAACCTGAGATGTTAATTGGCAGAATATATATCCCAGAGAAGAATAAACTCGTTTAATGCTTCTGAATCTGCATTGCCATCCCATAACCTTTTATATTACTTTAGCTGCTTAATATTTTTTCACACACTTTTCTAAAAGTTAAAATTCACACAGAATCTGCAGATTGATCAATTTATTGCTTGCACATGGCTTAAACATTGAAATTTGGTATTCATTTAGTTGAGATCCTTACGAGTGGACGCACTTGTTGATGTTCAGGCTATAGGAGGATCCGGGGGGACATGATCCATGGATAGGTCGTTCAATAGTGCACCGATTGCTCTCCGGGTTATATCCAGCAGGGCATAAGCTGCTGGCTAAGGCTCCTGCCATGAAAGACAGAATCAAAAGCAAAAGCCAAGTGCATTTCAAATACATGACTGAAATGTGAATCCTTTTCTTTTCCTGCACTCAAAACAAACACTTAAGTTCGGAAATGGAAAACTGAGCAGCCTCAACTCACCGTGGGCAAATGCAATATGCAACTATTTTAAGAGATGCAACTGAAACGGATCTTATATACCAGCAGATGTGCCAAGGCGATGATTCCATCAGCTCGACCTCAATCTAGTTCTACTGATCTGAACTGGGAAAATGCGATCAATTTTGATAACACCTCGCTGATAAGCAGCTGAGCAAAACAGTTCTGTTTTGAAATTGTTTTAAATTTATTCAATCACTTTTGTTTGATTAGGTTTTATTTGGATTTATTTAGTGCTGGTAGACACAGAGGTTCACATTAGGTTTGTATTGGGATCCAGGTGGGCACTCTCCACGAATGGTGCGCTGTACGGTGCACTGCTGGCCAGTCTTCTGGAATCCAGCTGGGCAGCTCTTGGCTGAAACAGCCACGGCGATGATGGCGAAGATGAAGATGGTAAGCCACGAGAAGTTCATGTTGGTTGCAGGCTGAAAAATAATTGTAATTTTTATATTATACATCGATTTTAAGGAGTATATCCCTGTCGAGAGACAATCTCAAACCAAATTAATAGACACTGTTGTTTTATAGGAACAGATAACAGATCAATGATTAACTTTGTTTTTCATTTCATTCCAAAAGTTTATTGTTATATTTATTCCTCATATATTTCAAGGAAATATTATGTAAAAATAATAACTAAATTAATTGTTGCACTTTTAAAAAGTATTTTTTATTCTTTCTTTTTCGTGTGAAATAAGTTTGTGAGAAAGACAGATTTTTAACTGATTTAAGCCTTAAATTTCAATACTCTAGTTCAGCATTTACACAGTATCTTTTCTTTTTTTATACACAAAACTATTTTCTTTCTCATTAATATTTTAAATATGCAAATTAAAATCTTGCTGCTCGAAATAAATCAAATCAATGACTTACATTATAGTCTTCACTTTGTAGATGAGCAAACTAAATATTTCGGCAGCCGGGATGGTGCTTTTATACCCGCCGGAAAATACATTTCGGTGCCTTTATCACGTCCATGACGAACCTTTGACACAATTAGTGGCGTTTAAGCTGGCGCCGATAAGGAGCAGCGAAGGCTTGACACATGTGGCCCGCTGGATGCCTATCTTCATCAGTAAAAGGAAGCGGGCAACAATTCACCGGAGAGCCCTGGCAGAACAAAGGCCATTTGCGTCGACTGGGCCCAGAAGTAGGCGTGAAAAACCTGCAACGGCAATGGCCAGGTGGCACTGTCGAATGGCAACAGAAAAATTCCGCATGAAGCAACTGACATCAAATTGTCGATGGAACAGGTGAGGCAGAGGAACCAAAGCCAGAGCCACGACCAGACCCAGAAACAGAAACAGAGGAGCCAGTGGCACTTTTGGCATTGTCCAGGTCCAACAATGGACCAGAGGATTGGGATTGGGTGCGCCTGTCAGTTACAGGAGCACAATGGGTAGCACGGCAGTTCTCCAGCGCTTTTGTGCGTCCAGCATATGTCATTCATATACAATTACGGTCGCAATTTTCGATAGCTGGTCGAAAGATGCGAAATGTGGGTGCAAAAAGTGCAGGGCAAGAAAATTGTTTCATGACAATGAATATTTTTAAAGATCAGAATTCGGCTGTAAAATGTTCTTAAAAAATATGTTTTGGAAAAAGTGGACTATAAATTTTTTTTTAATAAATAGAAGATTAGTATCAAAATTGTTGATAAGGTAAATTGAATTCAGATTATTAGTTCATAAATTTAAGAGACGCGGTCTTATATATAGATTATGGTGATTTCCCAAAATATTTTTGTGCGTAAAAAGTTTAATTTAAGCCATTCAAGTCTATACTAGCTGATTCCTGAATCTATAATCAGTGTTTTATTTATGTTTTTTCCATGTGTTAGTCTTATGTCACAGCAATAGCCAAAGCTAAGCTGAGATTATCAGCTCTTGAAACCAAATTAAATATAGAAACTGGGTTTTCCCAATGTAGACACTCTGGGGCGTAAATCAAATGCAAACGAGCCATAAAGTTCCAGTGTCAGGCGAGGCAAGAGTTCAATATTTTTACGTTATAGTTTGCATGTGATGGACGACAAACTGTTTTCGAAGGTGGCCACTTCAGGCGAAAAGAATCGAATATAGTGGCTCATAATTCACTCAGCACTTGGATATGTTCGATATATGGTATGTGTATATGGTTGCGTGTCGACGACGACTTCTTCACTTGGCCAAGTTGTCGGTTTTAAGGGGGTTTTTCTGAGGCTTTAGATGGTCGGTTTTGTCCAGTTGGTCATGCCTTTGGCTTTGAATTATTGATGGGCGTATTAAGAAGATTAATGTGATGAGCTATGGGGCACGGAGAGTTTTGTCGTTGCCTGTTGTCGTTGGTCATGTTAATGTCTTCATTGTCGGCTTGAAGCTTTACCTTTACCGTTAGTCACCCATCTCCACCCCCCTGATTGTGGTGTATTGATGTGTGTGTGCTATTCTGTACGTGTGTGAGTGTGTGGGCGAATCAGTTCGATTGAACAGCAAGCACAGCAAAGCAAAAGAGCAATAACGTTCATCACTCTAACTTCCCGGGATATTTCCTCCTTTTTGGGGCCTGAGGTCGATTGGTCATTTTGTTAGACCTCTCAATTCGGTGAGCTGCTTTTTTGGTTGCATTGCGCGTCTATAAGCCATTTTTCTTTCTACCTCACATAACTTTTAAGCTGTGTGTAATTTATTTTTATTGCCATGCTGCCGACGTAAAGATTGCAAATATGTAGTTGACCAAACCTTGGTTTCGATTTAGCGCTAAAGGTATCACTATATAAGGGTGTTAAGATTTCTCGTATTTTGGGGTACCACAATGAGTACTAAAATGTTGGATTACAATTTAAATCGGAATAAAAAATCCTTAAAGATTGAAAAATCTCCCTCGGTAAGAATACTATCGACCAATTTAGCATTTAAAATACACAGAAAATTAAATAAATAAATAAATTCAAATTGAAAACTTAAAGTAAGTTTATGCCAGTCTAAAATCGTGGCAATAATTAATGCAGACAGCTTTTGATGGCCAGGCTAAACTGCGCTGCAATTCTCATTATTGCAGCCACGAGGAACTAAATTTGGTTTTCAGCTTCTAGCCCGCTGCTTATGCCGGGCGGCTTTATACGCCCAGCTGGTCTGGTTGGAACCTCAGACATTGACTTTGGTAAAATTGTGGCACGCCAAGCTCATTTTGAAGCTCATCAGTAATACAGTTACACAACGGTCCGCCGAAGGGGTTGGGGTGGTACGGTAAGTGGAGGACTCCGCTGGGGCAGAGTCAAAGCCAAAACCGAAACCAATGTTGATTTTATTGCTTGCCGCAATGTTTTTAACTTTTGCAGGAGCAATGCCACCACCGCCACCACTGTTGCTACTGGTATTACACAATGAGAAATGAAATTAAAATTATAATTATTATAAATCTAGGTAGTAAGGCATTTTTCTATCTATTGGTTGTAGTCACATTTTCTTTATTTTAATAAAATAACATCAAAAACTTATAAATTAATACCAATTTTGTCAAATATTCTACTAAATCATACATAAAAATCAGAATTTAAGTTTAAATCAAAGATAACACCCCTTAAAGTGTTCTGTGTATTTTCCATGTGTTTTTTTTCGCCGTGTTGTGAGAAGTTCCCTTGGGTGTAGGCAACTGTCGCGTTGCATGTTGCTGCTATTACTGCAGCACAGCTCCGCACAGCATTTAACCACTCGGGCAACAAGGCGGCCAGGCCAAAACAGCCAAGAGCCAACAGGCAGCAGCAGCAGCAGCCAAACTGCCAGACAACCAGGCCAAAAGCTGAGCCATGCGATGGCAAAACGTGCTGAGTTTTCGTAATTAGTGCACAAGAGTGCAGCCCGATGGCCACGTGCAGGGATTTCCAGGGGTATTCGGGGTGTATATAGGTGGGTATTCAAGGGGTATACCGGGGGATTGGAGGACCCAAAACACTCTCCAGCCGCCGTAGCACGTTTATGTGGGACTGCTGGAGTTGAGCTGCCTTTTCGGCCTTTTAGAGTGTGACATGGCAATGGCAATGTCTGCGTCATCTATCGCCTCCTTGTGCGAGGAGTGTTTCTTCTGCAGTTGGCTTAAGTAAGTTGTTAGTCGCTGGTCGCGTTGCCTTTGCGCGTTTGACACACAAGTTGTCGCCTTTAAGCCACTGCCAGCGAATATTGAATTCCCAATGAGATTTTCTTGTTTTCTTTGGGACTAAAGTATAAAGGGATAACGAAATAAAGGAAGGAAAGTTCGGTAAGAAAATGGCTTTCAGTAATTAACAATTGTTTATTTAAGATGGTTATTCTGTGGGAGATAGGATAATTTACAAAAGTTAAGAGTTAAAGAAGATACAGGTACTTTAAGACCAGTTAACTCAAAAAAAATATCTTTATACAATACTTTTTAAACTGAACACCCATCCCAACTAATTAAGATGACCATAAGGCAAACAAGCCATCTATTATCCTATTTATGTTTTTTTTATTTTTAAGCAATCAATAGATACAAATAAAATCAGTGGTATAGTTTTAAAAACTTTTTCATCGCACTCTTTATGTCTGCCAGAATTTTTTTTTGGACCAACGCTAACGACATTGGCAGGCAGCAAACAGTTTTCAGCTGCCATGGCCTTAATTTTACTGATTATGGCAGCAACCAGGCAAACTTTTGGCCATTAAAAAAGATTCGTTTTAATGAGTTTGGCAGACAAGGCAACAAGGTTTCCCAGCCCATCAACCCAACACCCCATTGGCACCCTCTCCATCTCCATGGCCTTTCCCTTTATCGGGTAGAAAAACTGTCGCTGTTTATCTTTTGCCGGCTGGCAGTCAAAATGCAGCCAAGGTCTGCCCCGAACTGGACCTCAGATGCATGTGTATATGTATGTAAATAAATGTGGATCAGCACTGGGAATAAAAATTACTTTTAAATTCAGAAAAATACCTATTCTGTTATTGAGCTGACTCTAAGGACTTAAAGATAAAGTCACCTTATTTAAATTTTAGAGATACATGCCTCAGAAAACAACTTCCTAAAGTCCCCAAGACTTATTCCATGAAATAACTTTCTTTAATTTATTTTCCGAGTGCATGTAAAATCTGCATTTTAGTGCAATTAACATTTGGGATGGGACGGATGCAATGGGTAGGATGGCATGGGGCACAGCATCATTGGGCATTGTAAGTTCCATAAATCAGCATAAATTGAGTGCGCAAATAAAGTAATTGTCCCTCTTGCCGTTTAAGGCTGGTTAATTTCTGGGCCAGCACCCGGAGACAAGTAAGACTTTTACCTGGCCAAAATCGAAGAGTAATTTAAGTCGACCGCCGAAGTCGAGGGCGCTATAAAATCACTTGTTCTGCTAATTGAAAGCCCGGCACAATTAAACTCATCGTCTGGATGCGGATGGGGAAAATCTCGGGGAAAAAAGACTTTCTCGTTCACTGCATTTTTTCTGGCTGATTGACAGCTGTCATGGCGATAACCGCAGTGGGACTTGTTTCTGGTCTCCTTTTTTTTTTTAACCTCTGCCAATTCGATGGGTTTTTGCCTGCATAAAATGCAGATGCAACTGGCGCACAGATCATTTTCTCACTGGCAAAACTCTAGCGGCTGGAACTTGTGTAATTTCAATATTTCACAATAAATCGCAACGCCGCCAACGCTCGGAACTTTCTCCATCTCCAAGTTGGCCTCGCATAACGGTTTGACAATTTGCAATGCGCCTGCGCCGCCTGTCACTCCAATTCAGCTCCTCAGGATTTTGGGATCGCAGTCTCAGGATCGTCCCATGAAAAATGCATAAGTGACAAAAAAACAAAATCTGAAAAAACCAACAATGGAACTCAAAATGCCGCAGAAAAAGATACTGCTGACCGATTTGACCGTATATGGACTTGTTTACTCCTTATGTTTATTAGTCCAAGTCCACTGCACTGCAG